AAGTTTGGATATTTCATCAAGACTAACATATGTCTTTATTATCTCCATAGAAACCCCCGGATGGACATTATTTCAGCTGATATTCCTCTTACAACGTGGTTACAATAAGTGGGACTCCCTTTATAGAAACTTTGAACTGAATTTACACTTCTTAATGCCAATAACAGATCGTTTATCCATACATTTTAAGAAAATAGGTATGTCAAAGAAGATGCCAAATGTTGCCCCTATTATAATTTTTTTGATTTAAAAAATCAAAGAATTACAAGTTTATATTACAAAATTTAAGTTGAATATTTTACTTAAATCATGGGCTTTCAAAATTATGTTCACCTCTATAACCCGGGCCCTTAACTTGGTTTGAAAAATTGAGATGACATATTTATTTTTCACCGTTAACAACCATTGTTTTTGTCTTACAATTTTATATGATTAATGTTATTTTCATTTTAATGCTCGAACTTCAGAGAAAATTTAAACAAGCTGACGATAATATGTGCCTCTTTTAGGTGATAAAAATACGTAGGTCCAAGTTGACAAGGGTCCGAGAGATCCATCAAACTTAGTTGACGACATACCGTGGAGGTATATTATGAGAAGTTTAAGATCAACCCTTGTATTAACTACTTGTAATCAAGATATTTTATGGCAAAACTCACTAAACAAATAAATATAACATGAGTCTATCTGCAATGATGTGTATTATTTTTTCCAAAGCATATATTCATTCAGAATTGACCATACATACACATCATACAACATATCTTATACTGTAAAGATAAATATCACACCTACCCTTTATTTGAAAATAATTGTTACAATGTGATGTAAAAATATTAGAGCTGACTCTATCTTACATGTATATTGAATAGAACCGCTTGATTTGTATATTATGCTTGCATGAGAAATCACTCTCTAGAACATATGCAAGTCCATCCAGAAGTATGGCAATTAGAAGTTACCTTTAGATATCATGTTTAAAGGTTGTGTATGTTTAAATTTTGATTTTGTTCCTCACTTACAATATAGTTGGGGAATTCATGACTTAGGGAAATTTGTTAAAATTGCCATTAACAGGCATAAATATATAGTTGAAAAAGGAATGCTTCTGGTTGCCATACATATGGAGTGGAGTGTATGTATATTCACTTTATTAATGGTTGCCATTTTCAAAAAAATCATGAATCACCATCACTTTTTTATTATATTTCACAATGTTGTTTTTCATGATATTCAAAGAATGTAGAACACAACAGGATTTAATACATCATGATTCTCAATGTTTCATCGAAATGGGCTTCTATATATATGAATAATTTTTTATATGAAATATATAACAATATATACACATAGATTCAAAAATGAGTATAATCATGTGTTAAAACACATAAAATGACACTCCTAACAAATAACAATACAAGTACAATAAATGAAGAGCCGTCACAACTCAAAACATGTCAAAAAATATTATGAACATATCTTTAAAAACACTTTATTCATTTCTTCAGAGAAATCAATTTTTTATCGAGACTTTGAACCTGAATCCTGAGTCTTTTTCAAATAAATAAATTGATTTCTCTAGAAATTAATAAATCATTAAAAAATTGTTTAAACCAGAGAGATGAACTAGCATAGAATTATGAACGTAATTTAATTATAATTTCCAAAATCTAACTATAGGAAAACCCCTTTAACCTCTTGAATCCCAGGTTCTAAAATAGGTTGAAACCAGATAATTTTTCATTTTTGACATTTTTCTACATACATACACAACAGATGATGTTCAATTTAGTAAAATTAGACGACGAAGGTCTTTTCTTGACATTTTAAAACAATTTTTGAGTAAATTGGATAAAAATTGTTCAAATAAGAGCAATTTTAGTGAACAATATTGTGACAGATTATCTCGTCACTCTGGGTTTCAAGGTCATTTCTGAGGTGACAAGAAATCTCGTCACTCTGGGTAGTCATCTTGAGATGGAGCAAAAAATGTTCCAAGTTTGGATAAGTTCATTTCAGAGGGCTCAGTGGTACTTCGTTAGGTGTATTTTGATATGCATGTATATAATCAACATTTTTGTAATCTATATGGATGGTGTATTTTTGATGGTGATTTCAATAAACCTTTTCACAACGGAATAGCCTGACAATGGTAAAGTCAGATAACGTCATAAATGGCGGACATAACTGTCGCTTCAATTGGATTTTCATGAACTGCATGTTTAATAGAGCGACTAGATTAAATTCTTTTGGTACAGCAATCACTCAAAGTGTTTTTCTACTGATCATATACATGTAGTTAAATATGTTCTTCCATCAAAATAAACGCTTCAATTTTACTGATCGGAATATGACACAGGACAACAGATACTGTATAGATAACAATGGTAGGTGTGGGTCAAATGTGATGTTAAATCGAGGTGACAATGGTAATATTTGACAACGGTATATGTAAAGACAACGGTAAAGTGTCTATTTGTTCCAATGCAATACATCCACCATAGTCCGTTGTATCATATTACCATATTCCGTTGTCACTGATGATATCGAAGACGCTATATTGTGGCGATTCACAACCCCATTTGATAGAAATTGAGATTTCATATAATACATCATCACACACACATCATGCACAGAATTAGCGACTATAAAGTCCCATGAAACGAGGACCAAGTGATTCAAGAATTGAAGCGACGGTTACGTCCGCCATTTGTGACAGCGGTATCTGACTTTACTGTTGTCAGGCTATTCAGGTGTGCTTCTAGTATATGATCCGGGATGTTCAAAAACTATGTACTCCTGTGTATGTGAACTTACACTTCACATTAAATTACACACTGTCACTAAAAAACACCAAGAATTAATTCTTGATACAATTTTGACTGGATTTCATTATTCAATAAATAAATATACATAGTAATCTAATCTCTAATTCATTACATCTGTATTCTACTGCATATATTTTTATGTATGAAAACTGGGTCATTAATCCTTAATTGAGCAATATATGACAATATATGATATAGATGTACATGTAAACTATACTGTACATCATCAGCATTTCCTAGTATCATATATACTAGGAAATTCTGAATTTGACATTATGCGACACCATAGAGGTATATACTGTATTCCCTGTAATTAGCACCCAGGGCTAATCTATTTCCTTGCATCAAATATACTTGGTCATTCCACGATACTTCTAGAACTTTGTGAAGCGGGGTGGGCACTAACTAGAGAGTGGGCGCTAATTACAGAGAATATGGTATATCTTTTATTGGTTCAATAATTATGTCACGACATATCAGTCACTACAGTACACTGTACAAACTTCAACTCCAAACTACAACTACATACTACAAAACTACTTCACATCAGTTTCACAGGTTACAAGTATTAACATCAGTTACAAGTAGGTGTAACCATAATACATGATTTCAACATGTGTACGTAATATTGAACAAATATTTCACTCTATTGCGGTGAATACCTGTACATCTTTCACAAGTGATACTCCACGAAGCCCGAAGGGCAAGTGGAATATCACCTTGTGAAAGATGTACAGGTATTCACCTCAATAGAGTGAAATATTTGTTTTATTATATCACTGTCTAGCTAAACATCCCTAATATTATTAAGTCATTAAGTCTTCAGATATTTTTACGAATCTACTCTGTTCGTCTGCCATTTTGACTTACACTGAACTAAATTATTTACACTGAAGGAAAACAAATTCTTTGAAAATTCCCGGGAGCGTGGGATATCGCTAGATATCTCAAGGTTATCTTATCTGATTAGCATTGCCATTGAATATCGCCAGATATCCCACGACATGTGACCCGGTTTTGACCAATCATTCTGTCGCTAGCTAGAAAGTGATATAATAATAATCAATATAATGAGTCACAATTGATTCACAATTACCAAATTTTGTCCATTGATATCAATGATTTCATTTGTAAAGTTCTAGAATCAATACCCTATTAAAGGTGCAACAATTAGTGCAGAGGGGCCATTCAACGATCATGGACCAGTGTCAAAATTAGTCTATAATATATCTAAGTTTGGATATTTCATCCAGACTAACATTTATTTTTATGATCTACAAAGAAACCCCCAGGATGAACATTATTTCAGCTGATATTCCACTCGAAACGTCGTGAATCTTAAAAATCTATAAGTTGGACTCCCTTTATAGAAACTTTGAACTCAATTTACACTTCTTACTGCTGAAATTGATAGTTTATCCATACATTTTAAGGAAAAAGGTATGCCAAAGAAGATGTTCAGCCAAATGTTGTCCTGATAGCCCAGAAAAAATAAAATTTTTTGAATTTTCTCATGACAGTCCTTGTTGCCCCTTTAATATGTAAGCAAATTTAGCATGGGAGCATAATTAAGATGTCCTACCATAGGTTTTGGGCCGATATAAAGATGGCAATACCAGAAGAATTCAATTTTATCTTTTCATTTTAAGAGAATCAAAATTACAAATAAACAGAGATGGATTGCCACGCCATCTTTATTTAAAAAAATTAATTGTCGACATTAGCTTGTGTGTTCTAAAGTCAGTGATCTCCCCAGCATTGAAGTATGTGGGCATAGCACCCAACTAAGATTTTGAAAACAAACTTGCACCCACCTGAAAATCTATTTGCACCCACTAGAAAATGAGAAAAATCATGAAAAATTGGCATATTTTGACCAATTTTGGTATGAATTGTGAAAATGACATATTGCACCCACTTAGAGAAAAAAATTCTGTGTTTAATGCTCGAACTATAGAGAAAATACAAGCTGACGACAATATCATACCTTTTCTAGGTGATGTGTTTTAAGATCCATTTTTGATACACATTGATAAGCTACAAAGTATACTCAGACAAATATTAATTATATGGTCAGATCCGAGTCTTTAATATGTTACATTGAGCAATAATTCATTGATTAATAAATTCAACAGTCTTCAACAAATCACAGCTTGATTTTTTTGAAAATTGTGAAGGAGAATGGAACAGTCAAGATTTTCCAAAATTTGCGAAATATAGTAACACGCAAAAATTGATACACATTGATACAAGAACACAAATGTGTACAATATGTCCCCACCAATGGGTGATCCCATCTAATGGTTATCCTGAAAATGAGTAGACAAGACTTTACTGCTACAATTTTGGAATGGAAAATGCAAAATGGCCACCTTAAAATTTACCAAGAATGCCCAAAAAATTAGTCAGTTCTAGATTTTCATACTAAGAATCATCCCTAAAAATTTGAAATTGATCTACCAAACAGTTCACCTGAAAACGCGTAGACAAGACTTTACAGACAAGATTTTAGGACGGAAAATCCAAAATGGCTGCCTTGACATTTACCCAGAATGCCAAAAAACTAATCAGATCTAGATTTTCATACTAAGAATCATCCCTGAAAATTTTAAATTGATCTACCAAATGGTTCACCTGAAAAACGCGTAGACAAAAATTTACAGACAAGATTTTAGGACGGAAAATCCAAAATGGCTGCCTTTACATTTACCCAGAATGCCAAAAAACTAATCAGATCTAGATTTTCATACTAAGAATCATCCCTGAAAATTTTAAATTGATCTACCAAATGGTTCACCTGAAAAACGCGTAGACAAGACTTTACAGACAAGATTTTAGGACGGAAAATCCAAAATGGCTGCCTTGACATTTACCCAGAATGCCAAAAAACTAATCAGATCTAGATTTTCATACTAAGAAACATCCCTGAAAATTTGGAAATGATCTACCAAATGGTTCGCCTGAAAACGCATAGACGAGACTTTAAAGACAAGATTTTAGGATGGAAAAATCCAAAATGGCCGACAATAAAAAAGTGATTATAAGTTTTTGCTGATTTCTTTTTACAAAATTAGCACATATAACTACTGTTAACAATAACATAGGCTTTTACAATAAAGTACACCTGAAATTTTTTATAAAGCTACTAAATAGTCTAAGTATGAAAACTCAAAAACACCATTCAATATGATACAAAGTATTATCGCACGCTAACTTTTCTTAAGACATTCAAAATGGCTGCCATGACTGGGCTAACAGGTCCAAAACCTAATCAGATCTAGAATCAAGTGAGTTGAACAGGATGTTAAAGTTTTAAAAGCAACAGTGAAGTCATTTTTCTTAAAGTTTGCAGACAAGGATTTTAGCATTTGACTTCAAAATGGCCGACAGGAAGTTAGTATCGAGTTGAAACTTTTTCGTCCACATCTGTATGCACTCATAAGTTATCCCTGAAAATTTGAAGGTGATATCTGTTGCGGTTTAGGAGAAAACTGCCAGACGTAAGGACGGACAGACAGACAAACAGACAGACAGACGGACGGACGGACGGACGCGCCTAGGCCGACAATATGGCCCCACACTATGTGGTGGGGACATAAAAACTCCAAAGTATACTGAGATATATATATTAGATATTAATTATATGGTCAGATCCGAGTCTTTAATATGTTACATTGAGCAAGTTCCAAAGTTGCGAATTCCAAAATAGTGAGCAAATTAAGATGATATTAACTCTTGTACCCGTAATCCATATTAGGAAATCTTCTGTCGAACTTAAGCACACTGTACTTATATCTATAAAACGGGTAATCTATCCATAAAATCCAAATTTGGGTATTCCTTTCGAATCTTTTGAATTTCTGATGTATGCTTGTGACGGAGCTGTCGACACTTCCAGATGAAATCCATTATCTTTCCAAGGATTTGATATGGTCTAGCATGCTGCTTTTTTATCCAATAGAGAAGTATTTCAAATGTGGCTTGTCTATATTCTTCAACTCTCTCTGGATTCTTAAGAGTACAGCCATTTTTGTCTTTGGGGTTTGAGGGATCTGGAATAAAAAAAATGTGATTGGATTAATACAAGTTCTCATGTATTTTGAAGATTATATCTTTATTCCAGAATATTATTTGTAGATTTTTTAAAATATATTCTTACTTGAGAATATTATTTTAAATAATATTATATCTAGCCCTGAGTCCAGAAAACACTCAGATTGTGTTACGTTATCGAGGTAGTTTAACTAGAGCAATATCAATCCAATTTGCAAAATGTGAACCTCATACTTGAATATTGTACAGTATATCGTACAGTATATCAACTCTTTAAAACGAGGGGTCATGGGTTTGATTCCCACTTGGGTGGACCAATTTTTTCAAATCAGCCTAAGCACAGGATTTCATTCTGTGTTTCAATTCAATTTCTTACCTGATTATCAACCAAATAATGAAAACTGGTGAGAAATGAGAGATTACAATAAATTTTGTCTCCACATTAGTAATGCCTAGGTCACATTTGCTCCGATTTTCACTACGGCGCCCGGCTGATTGAGTGTTTTGTTTAAAACTGAATACAAATTTGATCAACATATTCAATCGGCCAGGCACTGGTCAATGAATTGGAGCAAATGTGACCTAGGCATAACTTGGGCAACCATGTAATAAAATCACCATTTGTGTGTATTATATATATATTTCTTATATTGACAATTGTATCAAAACATGACACATTAGTCTATGTACAAACTAGGGGTATAGATCCTTTCCAGTTTTTACCTAAAAAACCCTCTAACTTATCCATCACCAGGCCAACATTTTCCTTCTATATTCACGTTGGAAAAGGAATAAGTAAGAAATCCAATAAAACCATGAAATTGCAAATATTGTAGAAAGGATCAAGGATGGATTTGTTTGGAGGCTCCAATATTTTTTATAGATTTTTAGATGGCGCTCTCCCTAAAAAAAGGACTTGGTTAAATAGTTATTATTATCTAAAAGGCACCCTCCTGATTATATATCTGGTTCCAGATAGTCACCAGGGACTTCACAAAATTCATCACATATATTTATTATTTATCCCCATGAGAAATAGAGGTTCTTACATGACTACTGGTGCAAGTTCATCCATTCTTGATGAGCTATGATAATTCTTGATAAAACATCAAAGCGAGTCAAGAATGCACGATATTGCACTCGTACGAGTACAAGAAAGTTTTTCTCATATGGCTCTGCATAATGTCATATATTTAAATACACGGATTCGCATGGCAACAAAGCTGGTGGTGAAAATGGTTACCGAAGACAATTTTAAAACCTATGGTAGGGTGTAGAACACTCATATTGTGTGAATTCCATCGATTTTTAAGCACGAAGGTGTAGAACATTTATACTTGAGTCGCTAATGTTTACTCTTGGCATTTCTAAAATATGGACCAAAGCCTATAAATACCTGAGATTAGAATACACAAGGCCTTTAAAAGTCCCATTTCATTGGGCTGGAGGTCCATACTCCTCAGTGTAGACATCGTATCATCCATCATTTCAATGGTCTCTTGCGGCTTTGTTAATATATTGGTAAGCTCATCCAGATGTTTGGGTTGTAGTTTATGGTTGAGCACTATGTGGGAATCTTTCTTGTAAACAGAGTATGAATTGAGTGCACCCATCTCCACAGTTGCACCTGAAATGGAGATTTTGCATGTGGTGACTCACTAGCAATAGACAAAATGTGATACATCAGAAGGAACCTTTGAGTGATACATAAGATTGTGCATGTGGTGACTACCTAGCAATAGATAAAATGTGATACATCAGAGGGTACCTTTGAGTGATACATAAGATTGTACATGTGGTGACTCACTAGCAATAGACAAAATGTGATACATCATAAGGTATCTTTGAGTGATACATAAGATTGTGTAGGTGGTGACTCACTAGCAATAGACAAAATGTGATACATCATAAAGTACCTTTGAGTGATACATAAGATTGTACATGTGGTGACTCACTAGCTATAGACAAAATGTGATACATCAGAAGGTACCTTTGAGTGATACATAAGATTGTGCATGTGGTGACTCACTAGAAATAGGACAAAATGTGATACATCATAAGGTACCTTTGAGTGATACATAAGATTGTGCATGTGATGACTCACTAGCAATAGATAAAATGTGATACATCAGAAGGTACCTTTGAGTGATACATAAGATTGTGCATGTGATGATTCACCAGCAAGAGACAAAAGAGAGAGTGTTTATTCAGAATGTTCCTATGAGTGATGGATAAGAGGGTGTTGGTAGAATGCATTCTCTACAAGCATTGTTATTTAAAAGGGAAAAACAAAACATCAAAAGGAATTAGGAATTAACATGGAAAATGTCACCACCTGCCATTTGTTACATATGTCGAATACTGATCATCGAATACCATCCACAAAAAAGTTTGGGACTATAGCAATATGTCACCATCACCAATTAATTAAATTCTATGGAAAACGATAAACATACACCCATCATCTCATTTGAACTTGCAGATCAATGGAAACATTAAAGGGCTAATAGATATATATATTTTTACTACCTTATACTTGTTGCAATAAATTAACTCAAACTCACCTCTGACTAGAGCTAACTGGTCTTCTTTGACAAGCGAAGAGAAGAATGGAATAGATTGAGCAAATCTCAATGATGCCTGACTACTGGATTCAACAGAATCGTTAATGTCCTGAGCAACAGATTTCCTACCATCAATGTCAATGCCAGTCTTCATATAGAAATCCTGGTATTCTTGAACAGATAGTTGTTTGATATTGAAGGTCTCTTGTTTTAGTCTATGAAGTTCCTGAAAATAGATAAAATTAATAATATGGGATGTCCCAGGTCCCTTTGGTTTTGTTGCCCTCTTCAAGAGGGAGAAGAGGGAGGGGACCAAGAGATCAGAGATGCGCTCAACTTCAATGGGTCGAGTTGACCCTCTTAATACTTTCTAGCCTAAACAGTTTTATACTCAAAAAAATGATTCTGGTCTAGGACTTGCCTGCATCAGGTATATGCTTAAAAACCACTACACTACATTCTCCGCTCTATGAAAGACTGTGAGGAAATGGGAGATGCAAAGAGGATCATTTAGCAAGACTACAAGGCTCTTTTCAGTTCCCAAACTTACTGCATGGCGTTCCATCAATTGAGCTGCTCCAGTTTTACTTTGTGTGACCTTCTCAATTTGCTTCCCTTTGTCCATTAAACTAGAAGCAGTCTCCAATTCATCTGTGATCTTCTCATACATTACTATACGAGCTTCCTTTATAAGGTCATTCTCGGCACTGGCAGCGTCTTGTTTCATCTGCTTCATCAGCATAATGTCTGCATTTTTCTTAGCGTAAGTATAGCGCCCTGTGCGTATGGCTGAAACATTCAATTAAGATCTTTGTTATCAGGAGTATATCGCCCTGTGCGTATGGCTGAAACATTCATTCAAGATCTTTGTTATCAGGGGTATAGCGCCCTGTGTGTAAGGCTGAAACATTCATTCAAGACCTTTGATATCAGAGGTATAGCACCCTGTATGTATGGCTGAAACATTCATTCCAGATCTTTGTTATCAGGGGTAAAGCGCCCTGTGCGTATGGCTGAAACATTCAATCATTATCTTTGTTATCAGTGGTATAGCGCCCTGTGTGTATGGCTGAAACATTCATTCAAGACCTTTGATATCAGAGGTATAGCACCCTGTATGTATGGCTGAAACATTCAATCATGATCTTTGTTATCAGGGGTATAGCACCCTGTATGTATGGCTGAAACATTCAATCAAGATAGTTGTTATCAGGAGTATAGCGCCCTGTGCGTATGGCTGAAACATTCAATCAAGATCTTTGTTATCAGGAGTATATCGCCCTGTGCGTATGGCTGAAACATTCATTCAAGATCTTTTATATCAGGGGTATAGCACCCTGTGTGTACTGTGTATGGCTGAAACATTCATTCAAGATCTTTCTTATCAGGGGTATAGCGCCCTGTGTGTATGGCTGAAACATTCATTCAAGACCTTTGATATCAGAGGTATAGCACCCTGTATGTATGGCTGAAACATTCATTCCAGATCTTTGTTATCAGGGGTAAAGCGCCCTGTGCGTATGGCTGAAACATTCAATCATTATCTTTGTTATCAGGGGTATAGCACCCTGTATGTATGGCTGAAACATTCAATCAAGATCTTTGTTATCAGAAGTATAGCACCCTGTGCGTATGGCTGAAACATTCAATCAAGACCTTTGATATCAGAGGTATAACACCCTGTATGTATGGCTGAAACATTCAATCAAGATCTTTGTTATCAGGAGTATAGCGCCCTGTGCATATGGCTGAAACATTCAATCAAGACCTTTGATATCAGAGGTATAGCACCTTGTGCGTATGGCTGAAACATTCAATCAAGATCTTTGTTATCAGGAGTATATCATCCTGTGCGTATGGCTGAAACATTCATTCACGATCTTTGTTATCAGGGGTATAGCGCCCTATATGTATGGCTGAAACATTCAATCAAGACCTTTGATATCAGAGGTATAGCACCTTGTGCGTATGGCTGAAAAATTCAATCAAGATCTTTGTTATCAGGAGTATATCATCCTGTGCGTATGGCTGAAACATTCAATCAAGATCTTTGTTATCAGGAGTTTATCATCCTGTGTGTATGGCTGAAACATTCAATCAAGATCTTTGTTATCAGGGGTATAGCACCCTGTACGTATGGCTGAAACATTCAAGATCATTGTTATCAGGGGTATAGCACCCTGTATGTATAACTGAAACATTCAATCGAGATCTTTGGTTAAGATAGGCTCCTGAGACAGCGGCTTGTATGGAAGATTGGGCAGAGCCCTCATGTGTTCTAAGCTCCATTGTAATAAGCTGTTCCTGATCGTCCATACAAGCCCCTGTGTCAGGAGCTTATCCCAACCAAACCCATCTGGCCCATTTATTTAATCCCTGTGTTATAGATCTACAACATTTCAGATTTAGGGAGTAGATAACTGAATCAGACAGTTTTGGTTAAAGCCTAATAAGAATCCAACATCCAGCAATAGGAGGCACACATTTTATAAGATTGGGTAAATAAAATGGCACAGTCACACATATATTTATCTGCATGTATATGTATGCGTTTTTAAGTGTCATGTAGAAGTTAGTTTTTGCAGCATGGGGTTTTGGCAAAATAATAATTTTGAGCTTTATTGTTCACAAGTATAGCTATTTATTATAATTTGCTCATAAACTATATGATAGTCTATATATCCAGATGTTATTTTTCATAAGTAAAAATATGAAAATGCTTGAAGTAAATATACACCTTTTGTTTAATTCTCATGAAAGTATAGTTGAGCTGAGTGTTAGATATAGGAACATATTTTGCACAAGTAGCTCAACATTATATGACAATGTCACTGCTACAATAAAAAATAGAAAACCATGTAAAGAAGGAAATGCAAGGGAAAAAGTATCTACATGTATATGTTTCATTTGATTTTATGTTAAATAGGCCCATCAAAGTAGATCCCATTTCACATAGAAGAGCTTTGACAGGCATGTGTCAGAGAAAATATATTTCACAAAACGTTTACAGAAATATATTGCCACAGCAATTTTTTACAAGGGATTGTTTTGAATTGAACTGTTTTTGTTAACATTTTTTTTATTTTTAGTGCAATTGTTTTTTGTTCCTTTCTACCAATTCTTGAGAATTAAATAAAATATCTTTCCGCACCTTGTTGGAACAAAATAGCATTATACGACATTTTCTAAGACCTCTCGTTATAAGAGTTATACAAAGGATTTACAAAAAAGTATTCAAAAAATTAAAACAAAAACCAACAAAATAGATAAAAATTAAAGTAAATATACACGTTGTGTCTATGTCATTTTGTTCCAATGAGGTTCGAATAGATGTTCCGTTTCATTCTGAACATATGATACCAAGAAACAAACAAAAGAAGTGTTTGATGTGTTTTCTAAAACAATAGAGAGAAAAGGATTATATATTTTCAAATTTAACTGTTACCATTCGACGATGATCATTAGATTGATGGTGCGTAAAATTTTCAGAATTTTTTGATGACTGATTTAAGAGAAACATGTGTTCAATTCAGTATAATACCCCAAACATCTTACCATTTTTAGACATCCCCTGAGCTATGCACTTTTTATATCTGCAACTAGTACAACCCTTCTTATGCCCTGAGCCTATGTGACATGCACCAGATCCTATACACTTGTATGTTGTATGTTTTAACTGACTCTTGCGAAAAAAAGCCTGAAAAAGAAGAGAGAAAATTACTGTTGATTTCACTGGAGAAGAATAGGTACACATACAGTAAAACCTGTGTAAAAATGTTCAGTATTGGAAGGTATTTTCTACAAAGTGGGTAATTTTAATACACAAGTCAGTAGATTTTATGCCAAGGTAGGGCATCCACTAGAGACAGGTCAGTTCACCAGAGTGAGAGAGAGAGAGAGAGAGAGAGGTGTTCACCAAGACAGGTTTTACTGATGGCTGTCATTAAATATTTTGAAAACTAATATACTAAACAGACATTTATCATTCAATTTTGTCACACAATATTTTCTTTTAAGACAAAAAGATAGAGGGGAGGGAGAGGGCTAATTTGATGAGAGATAAATGATGGGTAGAAAAATGGGTCAAGGTTGTTATTGTTAATTATTTATAGGTTACACAACACGTTTCATCGCTGGGTCAGAAAAGGTTTATTTTTTAGCATTTAAAAATATTAGAAATTAATATATAAAATTTCCCCTATTTATGAATTTCAAAGTGTGATTCAATAAGCTTTATCAAACCAAAAGTCCATATTTGGAATTACGTCTTTATTCAAACCCTAGAGCTGATAGTAATCAACATTCAAAATGGTACACACTGTATTCACAATTTTATTAATTGATAAAACAAGACTTATCACAAACGATCAAAGTTCAATCATTTGATTCAACTGTTTTTATATTAAGTTTATATTTAGATCTTAAACTTAAAGATTGCTACGTCAACAGTTGATCGTCATCAACATAGATTCATCATAATTTTTATCAAAAAGGTCAGGTCAAAATATATGTACACACAGGTTTGATGGAGGAGTACCGACTGTTTACAGTATTGATCAATCAAAGAGATTGTCTACGTACCTGTGTGTATTGATTTCCCAAAAGGGACAATGAACTGACGATTAACATTATATTGGAAAAAGATTGTAAACCATTGTTTGACAATGATCTTATGATATAAGTATGAGAATAGAAAGAAAAATAATCGTTTATTGGACTTTTTTAACATTAAGGAGGGTAATTAGCAAACTGACTGACTGGATTTAGTCATTTATGACATTGCCACTGACAAACTGATTTTAAGTCACTGACAATCTTAACTTTAGCCACTGAACTTAAAGATGCGGTCCCGGGGAATTCACTCCAATATACTGCCCCAAAGACCCCCTTTTTGAGCATTTTTTCCATGTCAATTTCCTCTCAAGATTTAAGGTTTCCATGCTTATTCCTCTCAGACCCAAATTATTGTTAAAATTGACTAGAAAATCAACTTTTCAAGTAATTTTTCCCTGTTGAAATACCATTTTCGTAGAAAAACTGAATTTTGATCTAAAAAGGTACTTTCTAAGACAATTTTTCCATGTTTTTTCCTCTCAGATTGGCCAGTTTCCATGGTTAATGCCTATAGCCAAGATTGGCCGTGCTGCGAATACCTACCCAAATTATTTCGAGTGAACCCCCCGGGGATGCAGTACACAATTGGTTTCTTTCCCAGGGAATCAAGAATGTCCCATTATTATTGCTTATAAATATAATATCTTACATAACTTAGATATATCTTGTGACCAACTTATGAGTAATAGTATATTATTGCTGATATTGAAAAATGGAAAATCAAGTGACGAAAAATGCCCACACAATACACATGCCTTGAACTAGGCAGCCACTCAGGTTTATGATAAACTTAAACAACCAATCAGATAAATTTCCAAAGTATATTCAAATTTCAGATTTAATTAGTTTCCGTGAAAGTATTTTGATCTGTCAGTACAATCGCAAAATCAGCACTGAAGGCAGGCGATTTGTGGCCCCAAGGGATCCAGATTTTGCTCTCCTATCATAGTGCAATCCACAGCAAGTATTATCATTTGGGATACTAGATAAAAAGCATAAGATAAAGTGAGACTCAGTTACATCACAATGCTCTCCTGTGGTATAGGGCCTCTTTAATTTGAGTTTTAGGTCAGGGGAGGTAGTGAGCAGATACTTTATGAAAGATTTCGGATAAAAACCAATGAAACAAGAACACGTACCTTACAAGCTTCACAGGTATTGACACCATAATGTAGGCCTGATGCTTTTCCACCACAGATCTTACAAGGCAATAGTTCATGCCCCACAGGACCTCCTTCATTATACAGTCCACGAGGCTTTATCACTGCTTTCTTTTTTGGTAATTGTATCATAGGTTCCTGTATTTCCCTATCTGTGAGATCTGCAATGTCAGTATGTGGATTCATTGGAATAATCGGGTTGTGTATTTCTGAGTATAAGCAAGTGGAATTAAGGTGTTCATCATCAGTGATTTCAGATTTTACAACAGCCTGCAGTTCAGTGAATATCACATCCTGAGGTGGTTCTGTATTGACTTCAGCTCTCATTTCCTCACTAGTGACTGTTGCTGGTCTGTTGATTGGATCTACACTATCAGCTTGGTAGTTCAAATTGACTCTTTTTAATTCAACTCTATCACTACTATTGCACTTGCGTTTATTTGATAAATATGTACCCGTGTTTTTAAGTGGTTGTAAGTTGGTAGGTGATTCATAATCACCCGTGTCAAGTGTCCTATATGTAGATAGGTCTGTAGGGGCTGGTACTTTATCGGTCATCATTTCTAAGGCACTTGTTACCAATAAATGTAAATTTTCAAACTTTGCCGGCTGAGGTTGCGCAAACTCAGGTTGGTCATAATTACTCTTATCTTGTGGTGAGTCATGAACGTCTGCTCCTTTTGCTGGTGAGTTACTATCAGTACTCACTTCTTGTGATAATGGAGAATCAGTTGATGGTGGACTCAAGAGCCAGTTTTCTATATTTTTCCCACATGGTGTATAACTTGAACTGCTCTCTACAAGGACTGCTTTATCATTACTAGGACCCTCAACAGTAGCTGTCACAGAAAATTGTTTATCTGGGTGTTCTTCCTTATCTTGATCTTTACCTTTGGAGGGACTATCAAGGTCACTTCTCCAACCTTGAATGATTCCTTTCATCACGATTCACTATGGTTGGATGACCTTATCACTAATCACCGCATTGTCCAGATCTGCAAAAATTGAATAATTTACAATAAAATTAAAACAGCATTAAATCATTAGAATCAATTAGAAAAAATGTGGATGAAACAATATAATTACTGTATATGTCAGCTTTATTATTCTAAATAATAAGTACATTATTATCAAAAAGGCAAACTTTGAACCAAACTGACCAACAGTGCTTTCCTCATTGATTATTTAAATTTGAAGTTGATTGAATAATTAAAAAAAGATTATTTAGCTGAACATACAACATACAAGAGCTTCAAAGTCCACTCCTTAATGAAATGAATGAAGTATTTTGACCTAAAGTTCCAATATACCATTTGAAAGGTGAGAGTACCATCTTTAAAGAGGCAATGTCTCCTAGGTTTCTCCCCGGACAATCAGTGATGTCCAATTACAATTGCTCATATAATATCTTACATACCGTAGGTAAATTTTCGAGACTAAATTATAGGCACATTATTGGCAATATATAGAGCAAACAACTGTCAGAATTGATTTAATTAGACTAAAGAAACATACAATCATTTTATCTATATCCAGGCCTGTAGCCATTGTATATACAGTACATTTCTTTCAGATAATGAATGGATCTTAAAGATATCTTCGTGGTCAGAATAGCATTGTAATCCAAGATATAACGGTCTTAAATTGTTTGCAATAACCTATATGTCTTGCAAATTCTGCTGTAAGATTAACTTTTAATGTCAATTAAGTTGGCATTTGTTTTTGTCACTAGTTTGTCCATATGAGTCAAAACTCAGCACGATCAAATATTGATCATAAAAGAGTATAAAATTCCTTCATTTCTTTTTTTAATCGTTATGTAATCCAGTTCATTCTGACACTTATCTTATTTCATTTAAGATTTAAATTTTAAAAATACTTCATTATAAAATACTGATTCTAAACTGACTCCGTTGTGTCATTGTGAATTCGTAACTTTTCAGAAAAAATATTATAAATATTATATTATTATATATTACAACATGAAATTAACACCATTTATATGTATAGGAGTCAGTTTCTGACACTCACAGTTCCAAAGTAGATTGATGAATCTGTTTCTCTTAATGCAAAAATATCAAGTTACTATTTGTGTTCCTATGAGTGCCTTTTTAAGGATCTGGTCCAGTTACTGATGTTCACTTAGGTTACAAAACTATCTATTTACTTATTTGTCTTTAATATCGTTTTAAAAAGACTAGGTGCGAGTAGAAACAATCTTTATTTCCGTCATTAAAGATACAAAATTCAGTCAAAGTGATGTCATATTTGAAATCTGCATATCAAAGTACATCTAGAAATATGGTTTCGAAAATTGTTTATCAACTTTGAAAATTTAATTTTTTTGAAAATGTGACTTCTTGTTCGGGTTGATTCCCCATATACCCCATGATACAAAATCACAAAAAGTGAAATATCTTATCTTGTATTGGACAGATAACATTTTCTTTTACTGGACATATTTCAATTTGCATAACTATTAGATACATAAGGGTTATATGAAAATTGAACCATTAAAACAGATGAGATTTAAGTTAAGGGGAACTTTCTCCGATACCCGCCATGCTATCTGACCCGAACGAGCCACCTGGTGGTGAATCTGGTAACTGGCTACTCGCATCTGCGTTATTGGCGAATTCTAAATTGGAAAAATCGCCCCAAATCCCAGAGGATTTGACATGTTTATGTTCAGTGCATTTAAAAAATGTATCAAGATGTCAGGGCTGTTTAAATTGATAGAAACAACAAAAAATACTAAAAATTAAATAGGCGCCAACAGTCCCAAAAATACAAAATCACCAAATCAAAGAAAAGTAACCATTTCATCACCAGGGAGTTAACCTACGTCAGAATATTTTAAAGAACAAAAACAGTAATGTCTACATATTTTTGGGTCATTATCTAACAATGTGAATTCAACTTGGTCACTAAAAGTTTGCATAAATCATGCCTAGTCGTTACACTTCAAGGTCAAAATTGAAAACTATATTGATTATTGTACCACTTTACTATCATTTTTATGGAAATATTACTCATTTAAGCAACTTTTTTTGAAACTTCTCTTTCTTGAAGAATGTTTTTGAAAATTCTCTCCCTGTTGATGAAAGCACTTATTAATAGATTTCACCACTAAAATACTTCCAAAATGTTATTTCACATATACACTTATTCCTGCCACTCTTTCCTTTCTAATGGTATATTCTTACATTGGAACAAATATTACAATTCTTTCAATCTTGTTTGCTGAAACAATATGTGCTTTATCAGTTATTAATAATACCTTATAAGATAACTTGTTAGTAATATGCAATATGACCATGTGTGTCAACCACCTGTGGCTGTTTATGAGAATCAACATACAATATAAATATAATATGTTTAAAGTGGCGATGTCTGTAGCTTTAGCTATTTAAATGGGTTGTATGGTACAAATGTGGCGCTGTCTATAATTCTAGGTATTTCAAAGAAAAGTTAATACTGTCCTCACTGCAGTTCTACAGTTGGGTTGGTATTAATCCAGTTAGTTAGAAAGTACTCATATAAAATCAAAGAGATCAAGGAGTCTGAATGAGCATTTTTACAATTCAAATCTAAATAAAAGCAAATATCTTGAATTGGTTTCAAGAAAAAAAAATTATTGATATTGTCAAAAGTAGCATATTTTTTAATTTCATCATGTTGATGTCAAAGTCACATTACGTAACAAAATATCAGGCCCTGGTTACAAAAAAATGTAACAGTTTGTTAAGAGTCCAAACACGGGTCCAAACGCAAAATCCTTACATCAAACTTTGAACACAATGGTAAATGTGTCACCACTTCTTGGTGGGTGGTGACATAAAAATGTTGGTTGAAATGTTTGCAGCTACGTACCTTAAATTATACCCAGGCAATAATTTAGCATCCATCTCTGATGGCAGATCCATTACAAAAAAAGAAAAGAAAATTGGTATGTTTTGCAGGTTCCCTTGGGAGCTCCTGCTCTATGTCCTTTTCAAATGATAAAATTTATCAAAAAGATTTACTCTAAAGAAAAAAGATCTGACCTGCACTGGTCTGATCAATCCCGCAATCAATCCCTTTTTTTTTAATCTGATGTATGCACCTGATTAAACATCACTCGTCTTTTGCTAACAGTTTTACTTCATGTTCATTTCAAGCAGTGATTATTTGTCCCCTACAAAAAGCAAAGGACAAAATAGTACACGCTCTGTGTGAATATGACATCATCACGTGTTAGTTGTATAAGTATTGAGAAAGTGATACACTTATTGAAATGATGTAATGATATATCCTATTACTTGCAATAACCTGTCACTCCCTTTCCAGATATAATAGAGAAATTAGGCGAGACATTTAAATGCAAATGTCACCGCGTGCCAATACTACAGATGTCAAACGTCGAACACTGTCTACAAAAAAGCAATAATACTGTGGTGGTGACATAACAACGGCAATTCCCAATGAACAAATGATTCATGAATCTAAAATATGTCACACTAATATTTGTAATATTTTTACAATCTCCTGTTACAATTTGCAAATCAAAAGGCATTTGGGTGGGTGGCTCTTGAATTTTCAAGGTCACAAATCAGAAAGAAGATGCAATATTGATATTAGCCCACCAATTAGTCCAAAGAGGATTGACTCCCAGAATGCAATCTCAATATTTTTCAACAATAAATCCTGTTGTGATTTTCAGTTCAAATTTTGAACTATAACAAAAAAATTCAAAGCACACAAAAAGTGATCAAGATATTAGCTCGAATCTTTTGGATTGCTGATTATGAATTTATAACCAGTTTAATGTCAGACAATGACGACATTATGACATTTTCACTGTTAGAAAATATTGAGTTACATCTTTGGAAGCCAATCCTCCTTGCCTCAGGCCAAAGTCATCGTCCCTTCCCAACATCCTATGATGCATCACATAACCATACTTTAAAGAGATCTCCCTATTGTGAGTTAATGTGATAATTGTAAATTACTGTGATAATTGTAAATATTGTGATAATTGTAAATATTGTGATAATTGTAAATATTGTGATAATTGTAAATATTGTGATAATTGTAAATATTGTGATAATTGTAAATATTGTGATAATTGTAAATATTGCGATAATTGTTATCTACTCTAGAATATATCTCATTTGAGTATAAAAAAGTCATAATTAGTAAGATCACAAAATGATCAAAAATTTTGATTTCTCAATCGCCATACATGACCCCTGGAGTGAGAAAGCATTTAAACATTTAACATACATGTATTTGAACATGCATTTTAGGCTTAAATGCAAAAATGCATTTCATATACAAGTCATACTTCAGAGATCTCAAAATTAATGAAAAGTCATGTCAAAATGTGAAATAGAAAAACTGTACATGTAAAAAAAATATGAAAATATAAAAGAAATATAAAAATATAAAAAATATATATAAAAATATAAAAAAAAATTTAAAAAAAAAATATATAAAAAATATATCTAAAAAAATATAAAAATATAAAAACTGTATATGCTTGTTACTGTAGTCATAATTGAAGCTTCTCCAACACTTTAGCTGAATACTTATCCCAATTCAAATCCCATCTCTCTTATTCTTTAACATCATTTTTCATCTACCTAATCCAATATATGCCTTTCCTTTAAAGGTCTATTGTCATCTAACAACAATAATTTCCTCCAAAAGAAAACGTGTTTATTCAATATTTATAGGGTACTTTGTTTCATAATACCATGTTATGATAACAAAATCTAAGTGAAATAAGTTATTTATGATGTCATAAATAACGTAGGATATAGAAATGATCTTGTAAATAGTAACAGAGACGTCTAACAGTTTCCAAAGAAAAATGACAAGGATTAAAGTGGCTATTAAAGTGGCTATTGAAGCGGCTATTAAAGTGGCTATTGAAGTGGCTATTAAAGTAGCTATGGAAGTGGCCATTAAAATGGCTATTGAAGTGGCTATTAAAGTGGCTATTAAAGTGGCT